TCCAGTCATTTTAGACGAGGCTTAAATGTGAGCGACAGGGGGAAATGGTGTGTACAGCTTAAGGAGGAAAACAGTAGACGAAGCACACACCGATTCTCAAGAAAACGTGACAAAACCAGGAATATCACTTCCGCCTCAAAAGTGTAAAACGAATTTTTTTTTTTTTTTTAGATTTTATTTATTTATCTGAGAGAGAGAGAATGAGAGACAGAGAGCATGAGAGGGAGGAGGATCAGAGGGAGAAGCAGACTCCCTGCTGAGCAGGGAGCCCCACGTGGGACTCGATCCTGGGACTCCAGGATCATGACCTGAGCCGAAGGCAGTCGCCCAACCAACTGAGCCACCCAGGCGCCCGTAAAACGAATTATTAATATACAGGAACAAGTAGCAATAATATCACCTTACATTTGTAAAGTCCTTTAAAGTTCACAAATTTCTCTTGCATCCATACCGGAATGTGACCCTTGTCTCAACTCTATTGTATTTAGAACCATTATCTTCATTACAGAAGGAGAGGGACTCTGGAAGTAAACACGTAACTGCAGGTCACTCAGTCGGTAAAGAACCTAAAACAAGCTAATCTTCACAAAGTGAAAAACAGGGATTACCGTATTAAAATAATAAAATTTAAAAAATAATTGATAAGCTTAAGGTCAGTCCCCCAAAAAATACTATAAAACATTACAGAACAAAATAAAAAGCAAATACCCATTTTTAGGTATTTTTTAGAAACTAAAAAGTATTCATTATGAACAAGTCATATGGAATATTCTTTTTTAGAAACTGTTCTTAGATCCTTAAAAGTTCAGAAAGATTTCAATGGCATCACAGATAGGACAGTGTCCACAGAATGGGCAGTCTCTCTGTCCTCTCTGGAGGACTGAAATCCTCTCTTTGGTCACCTTAGTACTCCGACCACTGGAACACAATGCTCCATGTAGTTATTAAATGAAGGTAGGTGAGTGAGTGAATTCCATCCTTACAAACAAATTCAAGAAATGTAGGCAAGAGGACAGTCATAGGAGAATTCATAATTAAATTAACAACTACACCCAGAAAGTTGTGATTCGTAGATTGACTCTAAACTGGAAGACCCATCTCAGGGCTCCAAGCTGGTCTTTTCCCCTTTAATTTTTGAATCAATAATTTGAAAACATTAAATACTTATCATTATTTTCACTTTAGCTAGCCCTACCATCTACTGACACTTATATTTTTGTGTTACGGTCAGTATTTGGTATGTATTATCTCTATATTCCTCTCATCATCTTTTTTTCCCCCTTCCCCTGATTGTCTTTTTGAAAAAATACTTAATTTCTTTTTATAAATGAGAAAACTGAGACTTTAAAAGGTTACATAGTTTTTTCAAATTTACACAACTAGTGAGTGGCAAAGCAAGGATGCAAACGTCAGTCTGTCTGACTTCAAAGCCTGTCTTTTTTTTTTTTTAATTTATTTATTTCAGAGAGAGAGAGTGTGTGTGAACAGGGGGAGAAGCAGAGGGAGAGGGAGACAAACAGACTTCCTCCTGAGTGGGGAGCCCAGTGTGGGGCTCAATCCCAGGACCCTGAGATCATGACCTGAGTCCAAATCAAGAGTGGGATGCTTAAGCAACTGAGCCACCCAGGCTCTGCTCCAAAGCCTGTCTTCTTAACCAACATGTGTGCTATGCTTCTCAAGTGTGCAGAGGATACAGAGCTATAAATGACCCAGAATACGTGAAAAGCTACTATAATATTTTGAATCAGAACTGAAAATAAGTTTAACAGATACCATGAGTACACAGATTATTTAAAGGGCTGGCAAAGAGAAGAGACATCAGATTTTTTCTGCATAGACCCAGAAAGAAAACCTGGTACTGATGAGAGAAACTGCACGGATTTCTCATTGAATTTCCTATCGCTTTGCCAGGCAGTAAGGTTTCCTATCTTAAAAATGTTTACAAGGAAGCTGGCTGAATCATCAGGAATGTTCTATAAAAGGTACAGGTCAGGGCACATGAATCCTAAATGAGGAGTCCTCCTCACAGCCTCCCAATCTTGTTTATCTCAGACAACTTTTTAGAGCACTTAGCAACTACTCCAAGTTGATATGATTCTATTCACTTCCATTTTTTCATTATTCACTCCAAGTTGATATGATTCTATTCACTTCCATTTTTCCACTTTCCTGTGTATCACATTCACCTCTAGTATTTTTTTCCTAAATACAACACCCTTCTGGAATGCTGCATCTAGTATGATGATATAAATACTTGAGAAGATTCAAGGCTAGCATTATCTGTAATTTTAAAAAAGGAAACTAGAGCTATACAGGAGTAAAACAGATGGGTTAGATGGTGAAAGAAGTCTGCACAATATGTATAAAATGGTATGATTATCAAAAAAAAAAAAACTACATATATGGAAGAACAGGCATAAGCCTGTTTATTATAGCATTAGTTTTCATATCAAAACTTATGAACCACCCAAGAGCCAATACAGAGTAGGCTAGAACAATTTTCCAAAGAACTGAAGCAAGCTAAATGTTCAACTTGCAAATACTGGCCTAAGTATACTTTTCCTTTAAGAGCATATATTGGGAGATTTGGGGTTTTGGTTTTAGTTTCTGCTTTTGCCAAAATTATCTCATGTAACTGGCTCCCTTTCTAAGGTTCATTATGCCTACCCATTTAAATTAACATATTCATGCAAATTAACGACTTTATCTTCAGGACACACTAAAAATAAGTATTTGGTGATATCATATTGAATGTATATTAACTTACCTAAATTCAACTATATGTTTTGGGCAACAAAAATAAATTATTATAGGGGCGCCTGGGTGGCTCAGTTGGTTGGGCAACTGCCTTCAGCTCGGGTCATGATCCTGGAGTCCCGGGATCGAGTCCCGCATCGGGCTCCCTGCTCAGCGGGGAGTCTGCTTCTCCCTCTGACCCTCCTCCCTCTCATTCTCTCTGTCTCTCATTCTCTCTGTCTCAAATAAATAAATAAAATCTTTAAAATAAATAAATAAATAAATAAATAAATAAATAAATAAATTATTATAGATCATGGTCACTAGATGAAAGTCAACAATGTAATCTGGTTCTTTTTTTTTTTTTTTTTTAAGATTATTTATTTATTTATTTATTTGAGAGAGAGAGAATTGGGGGAGGGGGGTCAGAGGGAGAAGCAGACACCCTGCCGAGCAGGGAGCCCGATGCAAGACTCGATCCTGGGACTCCAGGATCATGACCTGAGCAGAAGGCAGTGGCTTAACCAACTGAGCCACCCAGGAGCCCTGTAATCTAGTTCTTAACTACATGATCTGGTCTAATATTTGAAGAAAAGCAGGTTACAACGAATATGTTCTGAGGTTGTACATCACACACAAATCTATGTATTCTGTTAATGAGCTGATAGTAGATTCTGAAGGGAAATTTCTGCTCATTAATATCTGGTGAACAGATTTTTAAAAATGCATTATAAAACACTCATTTCCCACCCTATTAACAATAAATTGAGTATCGTTTGGAACCTAACCCTCATTTAAGATGTAACTCCACCAAACTGCCAGAGCAAGGAGAAGATGAAATAGTATCAAGCACTTATTGACCCAAGCCCAACAGGTGACACAAGGTTGACATTATGAGTCGTACACACTCCAATGCTTACAAAACCTGATGGGACAGGTATAGCTCCAATTTTGCAGCTGAGGAATATGAGGCACACAGGTTACCGACAACCTCAAAATGAAGGCCTTTCTTTGTATTTTCATAAAATGTTATTTCCTTGCAATTTCCTAATGAGCTACAGATATGTGGGGTTTTTTTTAACCACCTGGACTCAGTTTCTCCATGAGCCCACAATTCAGAAATCCCTCAACTGAAAAGACTATTCATGAAGCTCTAATGTAAATATGACCCCCTCTCCTTAACTTCTTCCCAACACAACAGCCCTTCCCCCATACAGCTGTGCTCCTGGAAAGCCTCCTGGGACAGCCCTCCTTTTTAAAGTGGTCAGTAACAAGGTGGCAATGGAAGATGTGAACGCAGCTCAGCACGGTTCTAAAAGTGAGGCCTAATTATAGCACCCCAGAGAGGAACAGGAAAGGTCCACTTAGCCTCCTCTCTCCTCACTCTTCTGTGTGCAGTCTGGAATCGAGACAAGAGAGTCAAAGGAAAAAGATGAAAGGATAGAATAGTAACAAAACCACAGACTACCTTAGTCATCAAAGACATGATTTCCAATGTTTGGAATAACGCATTTGGCTTTACTTGAGCCAATGATAGGAGTTCACTAGGAAAAGTGACCACTTAGAGTTAAGTCAGGGAAAATGCTTTTGTTGGCTACCACGTGCCGTCAGGTCACTAGTGGAATTAAGCGAAAACCTAACACTACTGTCTGCTCTGTATAAGCCACTTTCAAATGTTGGCATGGACTCTTTTAACAATATAATCAATACCAACTGGAAACCGTGCCTTAAATGAAATCAAGTATTTGATGACAAAGGTGAAGGAATACATTGAAAAAGGTTGGTTTTTTTTCTCTCTCCCTTATACTAAAAGCAAATATCTTTTCATTTCCTATAGAGGTAAATGAAAGCCCTGGACAACTGACATTTAAGCTATAACCAATTAAAGAGCAATAACTGGCTCTTCAAATTGGTATTTACATATGCAAACCAAGCATTAAAATATCCTTCCGTTAAGCAGTTCAAATGGCTACTTTCACATGACTACAAAGGCTGAATGCAGCCTTCACAATAATGATACAGAAATATCCCATCACAGCAGATGCAAAATCTATCATCATGTCACCCAGGTTCATGCCATTGTTCACACACATCTATCATCAGTGATCTGCCTCATGCAATGCTACCTTAAATTTAACTCTCAGTGGGGATGCATTACAAAACAAGGTAGACACCCATCTGAATGTTTGACCCCAATTTGTATTAAATAAACCCTTTTGTATATGCTATACATGTATTGTTCAAAAGCAAAATCAATACTATACCTGGTTATTTCTTCTTTAAGCTTACATGGATCTTCAGCATAGAATTTAATACCAAAATACAAAGTATATGGAGGTCCAGCTAAAATAAGAAATAGAAATTAATTTCATAAATTAATCAAAGTAGAAGTATAATATTATACAATTATTAAAAATTATGTTCACCAAAAATATCTGTAAACTACATATTGGATAAGGGGTTAATATCCAAAATATATGAGGAACTCTTACAACTCAATAGCATAAAACAACCCAATTTAAAAATGGGCAAAGGACTAGAATAGACATTTTTCCAAAGAAGACATATAAATGTCCAATGGACACATGAAAAGATACTCAACATCATTAATCATCAGGGAAATGCAAATCAAAACCATGAGATATCACCTGATACCTATAAGAATGGCTATTAGCAATAAGACAAAAGTGTTGGTGAAGATACGGACAAAGGGAACCCTTGTATACTGTTGCTAGGAATGTAAATTGGTTCAGTCATTATGGAAAACAGTATGGAAATCCTCAAAAAATTAAAAATAGAACTACCATACGATCCAGCAATCCCACTACTGGGTATTTATCCAAAGGAAATGAAATCAGGATCTCAAAGATGTATCTACACTCCCATGTTCATTGCAGCATTAATCAGAATAGCCAAGATAGAGAAGCAACCCAAGTGTCCATCAGTGAACTAATGGAATGAATATACATACATTATATATATATATGTATATATATATATATATCTCTCACACACAATAGAATATTATTCAGCCATAAAAAAGAAGGAACTCTTCCCATTTGAAATGACACAGATGAACCTGAAGAACACTATGCAAAGTGAAATAAGCTAGACCCATAAAAAAACACATAGTGACTGATCTCACTTATATGTGGAATCTAAAGTAGTCACATACATAGATGCAGAGAGTTGAATGGTGGTTTCCAGGAGAAGTAGGAGGGAGAAATGAGATGTTGGCCAAAGGTTACAAAGTGTCAGTTACACACGATGAATGAGTTCTGAGGATCTAATGTAAAGCATGGTGACTATAGTTAATGATACTGTATTGTATATTTGAAATTTGCTAAGAAGATAGATCTTAAATCTTCTCACTCTCCACCTACACACACACACACACACACACACACACTCAACTATGTAGAGGTGATAGATAAATTATTTAACTTGACAGTGGTGATCTTTTCATACTGTATACATATATTGAAACATCAAGCTCTGCATCTTTAATTTATATGATTTTTATATGTTAAAGACATCTCAATAAAGTTTTTTGTTGTTTTTAAAAGATTTATTTATTTGCGAGAGAGGAAGCTCATGGGGAGAGGAGGGGCAGAGGGAGAGGGAGAGAGAACCTCAAGCAGACTTCATGCTGAGTGTGGAGCCCAAAACAGGGCTTGATCTCATGAGCCCAAGATCACGACCTGAACCGAAACCAAGAGTCTGACTCTTAACCACCTGTGCCACTCAGGCACCCCCTCAATAAAGTTGTTTAAAAAATTATACTCACTAAGAACTTCTAAACACACAAGAAAATATAAAATTAAAAACAGGATTGAAAATTTTATAACAACAGGACTTCAACTCTGCAGGTATCTATGTAGGTACAGGTCTATGTGCTTACAAACACAGGAAAAAAGAGAAGATCAAATATTTCAGAATGCTGCCAGTTCTTATCCCTAGTTAGTGAGGCTGTGCACAATTTTTATTTATTGATGATTTTCCCATTTTTCCCATTTTCTACAACATATATGTATTTTTTCACAATAAAGAAAAATTAATGATAAAACAAATGGTTTTTTAAAACCACTCACCTATTACTATTGCAAAAAGCATAAAAAATTTATCTGCAAAAAGCTGTTACCAAACAATTGATATAGTATCAAAACTTAAATGCTTAGCAACAGGAGGACCATTTGAATCAACCACGGTACATACAAATGGCACCACGCCACTGTTTAAATGGGTAGAGGGAGAACTCTATGCTCACTGCGAAAGATCACCAACCTAGTTCCGATGGCAGAGATATTATCCCTTTTGTGAAAAAGAAAGTTATCTATTAAAATACGTATTCCCCCCTAGAAAAATACACAAGAAATGACTAACACTGGCAAACTTTGGGAAGAAGAATTGGAAACTTTTTTTTACCCCCCCCCCAGCTTTAATGAGGTATAATTGACAAATTACATTGTAATACATTTAAAGTATGCAATATGATGATTTGGTATACTTACACATTATGAAAGGATTTCCCTTATCAAGTTAATTGACACATCCATCCCTCACATATTTACTTTGTGTGTGTGTGTGTGTGTGTGTATGAGAACATTTAAATTCTACTCTTAGCAAAACTGGTAATTTTCTTTCCATATATGTCTCTCACCTTTTTAAGAAAAAAAAAAAATCAGTGAGGCTATGTGGTAGGATTATAGGCAATATTTGTTTAATTCCTAAACTTTTCTAAGAATGTGCTCTTGTATATTTAATAATATATTTCTTATCTCAGTCATTTACTACATACAGAAGAACGACATGCACAAATACCAAATATATATATGAAATAAAGCCTGGAATTGTACTTACATGGGGAAACCTAAAATATAATTAAACATTCATATTGTGCAAAAATACCCAAGGGGTGCCAACTACTTCATACTCTTACTAGAAATATTTCTATTTCAGAGGGTATGAATCTAACCTATACTGCTTCCAAAACTTCTGACCAGTGTGGTAATTAGATCTTATATTAAACCTGTTTAAAATGGATTTCTTACCTGGTGTATTAATCAGTGGTCATAATTTCTAATTTTTTCTTCAACAAAAGCTCTCTCACACACACAAAAAAAGATGTGAAGTATACACCTCAGTTAAAATATTTCCACTCACATATTGTGAGCCCAAGTCTCTGATAGTATGTAACTGACACAAAGTAACCCTCCTCTCTCTATTTTCATTTTTACGGAGTAAAAAAAATGACAAGTTCAGAAGTTGGGGAAAGCAAATTAAGTAGAACAGGTCATAAAGCCATAATGCATTTTTAATACACAAACTACATTATTATTTATTGTTCTTATGACACACATACGCTATGTCTGTAGAACCCCAAAGCCTGTTCCTGGCATGCATAAAAGTGACAGCAGGGCCCTGAATCCCCTCATCTGTGCCTCTCTGGACAAGGCATTTCTTAAGCTAGAGCATTTTGAAGAACTGAGTTTCAAAGAACTTTGTTATAACTTCTTATCATTAGAGTTGATTCTATATGTTTGATTTCTATGGTTACTTCACCACGGTGTTTATATTTCTGACAAATACACCTTTAGCCCTGAACATAGATGTCAGGGAGGCACAGACTATTAAATATTTAGAAGAGCCAGGAAGTCCACGGTCTGCTGATTCATCTCTGTCAATCAAGCTCTGTGTTGCTGAGCAGATGGGTCCGCCTGTGCCCGCAGGCCACGGGGGCTGGGATCTAGGGGCCAGGAGGAGCACAGATGCTGTGGAGACAGTGCACAAAGGGAAGAAGGCCTTGTCCAGATTCCAGAGTTGCTTTTATTCTCCACAACGTGACAGATTACACCCTATTGACCAAGCCTAACCATTTCAAATGTGTTTAGTGATGAGCATTAAGCAGGAGATTGAAAAATACACAATTAAGAACACTCAGTTTGGGCAAATTTCCTTAAAGGACCTTTAGCCCAAATCAGCCCTCTAATTTCCCAATTGCATATAAAATGACTTGTGTTCTAAATATAATGCATCACTACCACTTGACTACATTTAATAATGTATAACAATATTTCATAAACATGTGATTTTGAACAACCACCTGGTTAACATAGAAAAGGCAGATGAATATCCAAGGAGGTAAGCAATTTGCTTAAGATCATGAAGTTGAGAACTAAGTTTGTTAATACCTAGAGTTCAGTACTTTCTGGCCATTATTCCACATAACATTTCAGGGAAAAGAATTATAATACCTTCAGAGTAAGCAAATACTTTCATCTACATCACTGTTTTATAGATCAATTTAAGGCTATGGAAATGGACATTCTGGAGCAAGGATACGTCTGATCAGATATTTTTTGGCTTCCTCTTCTAAGACTGACTATAAATAAATATCAGGTGCTGATGAAGCACATTCCTAAATCATTATCTTGCATCCATGTCTTTCAACAGAATCTACCTTAAATAAGTTAATATTGTTTCACTTTAGCAAAAAAATACAGAAGCCAAAAGCCAGAAATCCTCTAATATACCTTTTGTGAGGACGAATTTCAAGGCCTTTAATGATAGTAAGTCTTCCATGAGCTCAAGGAGAAATGAATCAAGACCCACCAATAAGAATTCTGGTGACTGGCAAATACTCCATCATTTTTACAGATATTCTTTCTGACTAATCTACTTGAGATGTGAGCGCCATTTTCCTTCATTGATTTGTATAATAATTATCAAATTATTTCATGAGATAAAATATAAACATTATGTTATCTTTATTTACATCATCTTCCTTCAATATTGGCATTTTATTCTTAGTGTACATCAAATTTTTGACAGGACAACATTTATTTAGGATTAAAAAGCAGTTTCATTATAGATTATATTTTTTTAAAGATTTTATTTATTTATTTGACAGAGAGAGACACAGAGAGAGAGGGAACACAAGCAGGAGGAGTGGAAGAGGAAGAAGCAGGCTTCCTGCGGAGCAGGGAGCCTGATGCGGGGCTTGAGCCCAAGACCCTGGGATCATGACCTGAGCCGAAGGCAGACGCTTAACGACTGAGCCACTCAGGCATCCCAGATTATAGATATTTAAATATAATATTTCATACCATATAAAGAGATAAATATTTCAAATGTGCTTAGGACCACTAATAATACACCTTAAATAATTTATATTTTTCTTCATCACTTAGATAGAAATCTCAACTTTTTAAATAAAAATCCTGTGAGTTTGTTTTAAAATAATCATTTCTGACATTTTTCTAACTTTTATACTGGTATTTTTTTAACTACTTTGTTCAAATGGATAAGACAGATACTGTATTTATTACTATACCTGAATTTTTGGGAAAAGTACAAATTTGTAGATCCTGAGGGATGAGACGTTTTAAATTGGAACTCCTACCATTTATATGTAGATACCTCACAGAAGTTACCTCCATTCATACCTAACTCCATGTATCCTCATCCCTCCCCCATTGGCCTTGGTAGGCAGTTTGCTTACTCAGGAAGAGTACTAGAAATACAGAAGTACTAGAAGTCAGAAGACCAGGACTCTGGTCATCCCTCTGCTACCACCTAGCTTCTCACCCAGGGCAAGTCATGAACCCCTTATGAATTAGGACTTACTCCTGTGTAGGCTGAGTAGGCAGAACTTGGTGATATCGAAGGTACATTTTTTGAGGGTTCTTTCTCACCCCCACAGGTTGGCCACAAGCCCGTTTCTGAAACCGTCACATAGTCTTATCCAGAAGGCTGGCCCCTTAACAGCTATGTTTACATAACCTTGAAGAAGCCAAGACATAGCTAAGTAGACTGAGGTGAACCACTGACTCACACTGGGCTGGTCAGATGCATCCTCTGCATCCTCTGTAGAATTGGGGCCTCACGTTCAGAGGCCGCCAGTCAACCTCTGCTTGTGGCTAGAAGTTTCCCCACAGACATGGATAAACAGAGAGAAACACAAATGATGCTGACGTTCAGAGAAACAGTACTTGCTGAGCTCCTGATAGTTTTGCAGTTCCTAGTTTCCAGTTGCTTTCTGAGGCGCAGCTACATTCCTGCCCGTAGGGTTTGTGAAGCAACCAATTTTACCACAGGGAATAAGCCAATAAACATGTGAAGTACAGAGTCAGATGGGCGTAATAAAGGCCCAAAGAATCTACTACATCTTACTAGAAATAATTTTCACAGTAAAGCAAAATGGCTTAATGAGTACACAGTTTCACTTTGGGATGATGAAAAAATTTGGGACAGTGGTAACGGTTGCGCAATGAATGTATTTAATGCCACTCAAAACTGGTTAACATGGTACATTTTGTTTTATATATTTTTACCATATTTTTAAAAAGATGATTTAAAAAAATTACTCTGTTGCATACTTAAGGATCGCAGGCATGTGCATGCATGCATATACTTCTATAAGTGAAAACCTGGGTTATGGAAATTGAAGTTATAGAATATAACCTTAATTATACTCTCAGTTACCTAATAAGATTCATATTTGTAAAACCAAAAATAGATGGGTCCTTTCTGAAGCCACAGAGATCTTTTAGGACACAAGGGCACTCCTTATTACTGACCCAGCAAGTAATAGTGTGAATGACAAAACCACTCCTTAACACAAGACACTCAAGCTCTTTAGAAGGTCAGATGTCTACCTTTTTTTCAAATCAATGCCTCTCTGCCTTTTCTTTTTAAGGTAAAATTTTAAAGACAGGAAATTTTTTAAAATCACTGACAAGTCAAAGGCAGATATACTCCAAGCAAATTCAATATTAAGATCCACCACTTAGTCTTTATTAACTAAAATTTAATCAGAGTTTAGAGGAAACGTCTGGCAATGCACACAACATCTATTTCCATATTCTTGGTACTTGAGTACCAGTACCCATTTCCATATTCTGGTACTTTAGTACTCATCCCTGTAGTACTAAAGGGTATTTCTGCGCCCAACTAATCATGGACGTTATATTATTTTCAAGGCACCCCGTAACAAAATTAACATTAAATACCTACTGTTGATCAGTTCTTTGTGTTCGGCAAGGGTTTTTGCAGGATCCAGCCAATACTGGAAAAAAAAAAGGGTAAATTATAGAAGTTAGTTGTTTTTCATTGACCTTCACTTCAAGAATATTTGCAAAGTGTTATTTTAAATGACATTTAAATAATAATATTTAACTTATCACATATACACAGAAAATATATGTAAGAGCTTTCTGCAGCTAGAAGACTAGAAGAAAAACGATGTTGATATTCAGAAGCAGAGAACAGCAACAGTTGTTGTAGGTTCTTGGTGAAGTTCTCATACTGATTTTAAGGTCAGTAATATCAAGATGCTGATGAGCAAGAAAATGATGGCTACATAGAATGCTCCCCACATCTCTTTCCAAAGTTCCCATCACAAGTGCCCTACAGTCATTTCTCCTCCTCCAATGTCCTCACCCTCTTCACTTCCTATCCTATCCCTTATAGGTAGCACTGCTAGACATTTGGAAGAAAGCAAATTAAATCAAATCCTCATTAAGTATCCAGGAAACGCAACTTGGCACAGTGGCTGAGGGTCAGAGTCCCAGAGCAGACCCAGCAGGATTCAGTCCTGGCTCTCCCCTCGTCATCACCATGGAACTTGGAACAAGTTTCTGGACTTCTCCAAACCTTCCTCATAGGCTTACTGTGCGGATTAATACATTAATTCCTACAAAGTCTTTAGAATAGTCCCCGTTCCATACTACATATGCAGCACATGCTAGTGATCATTATTATTAAAGTGTGAGGGTCATTCTTATTAAACATCTTTAGCCAATCAAAGGTACTTGCTTATGAATTCAAGTTAATCTCTAAGGAACAGAACCTCAGACAGTAATGGGAGAATTTTTGGTCCTGAGGAGATATCTTCCTTTACATCTTACCTTTGTGAAATAAAATCACACACACACACACACACACACACAAAAGGAACAATAATCCTTCAGCCCTGTTCCTCCATCTGGGAGAAATAAGGAAGCACAGAGGGGGAGCATCGGGGATTCCACGGAAGTACACAAGGATTCCTGTGCCTTGTGGGTCAAGAGCTGGAGATCCCAAGGGCCAAACTTACCAGTTTCCATTTTCACATATTCCTAAATGAAGAAGGGGCAATTCTCATAGTAGGGAGTAGGATCTAGCCCACCTTGAACCACTTTATTCCCAGCACCCTTGTGTTTGCTGTGGTGAAAACATTCACACTCCCCTGACACCTCCGGGTCAGGAATCAAAGGTCGAGGAAGAGTCCAAGAGAATCTTCCTGCCCAGTTCCCCTTTCCCTGCCCCTGCACTGAGGGCAGAATTACTTGCTCTGTTGTATAACAACAGCAGTGATTATACAGTGTAATTATAATACCTTACACAATCCCCTTACCACTTATTCCTAACTATGTAACGATTATTCACACTAAATGTACATCATAGTCATATTGTAAGATTTTGCTACATTACTGACCTCTCCCTGTATACATCATCTTTGCTATTTGCCACTCATACAGCAATTTCCATTTCTCAACTTTTTAAAAAGGTAAAGTATCCGATATATATAAAGGTAGCAACTTGTAATGTTCATTATTCTGGTTCTTATCATTTCTCATTTTTTAAAGGTGCAGAATCACTCACTTTTAAAATAAAGGTATTTGAAGCAGAGGCTGTAATCTGTGAAGTGCTTTCAGAGCCCACAGTGATTAAAGATGTGGTTTTGGTGTGAAAATAATGGACCCTAGGGGGACACCTGGGTGGCTCAGTCAGTTAAGTGTCTGCCTTCGGCTCAGGTCATGATCCCAGGGTCCTGGGATCAAGTCCCACATCAGGCTCCTTGCTCATCTGCTCATCGGGGAGCCTGCTTCTCCCTCTGCCTGCCACTCCCCCTGCTTGTGCTCTCTCTCTCTCTGACAAATAAAATCTTAAAAAATAAGTAAAAAAAATAATAATGGATCCTAGTGAAACACTAATTCATCCAAATAGAGGAAAATTAATCCAAATGTTAAGCTGTGTGCTGAACACAGAACAGACCCTTTCCCTTTAAGTATATAAAGCAATGGATGCTTCCGATGACATAGAAACAGGTGGATGGAATGTGTCTTGCCATTTATGTTCAGTAAAAAGGTCTGACTATTCCTGGATTTTTCCGAAGAGGATAAAACCAAGGAAAACACATACAAATAACCATAAACCCTTGCATCAGGTTTCTATTGCTGCCCAAGTTCTGTAGATCAGCTGGTTTCTTTGCTCCAAGGCTAAAAGCAAGGTGTCAGCCAGCTGAGGTTCGGGAGGGTTAGTGGCCATTAGAGGCTCTTCTAGAGGTCAAGGTACACATGGTATTAGGCCTTCATTTCAGCCCTTACATCACACCTACACATGAAGCCTCACTAAGTGCTTGGGACAGGAAAGGAGGGTATGGAATAGGCCCCTGGTCTTACTACTTTGTCTAATCTCAGCTTGAAACTAAAAAGAAACAGAAGTTGGAAGAGCGCTTCCTCCTCTCTCCTAACATCATCATCCCTAGAAAACAAACTTTATAGATTCTTTAAACCAATTCATTTTTTGTTTTGCTTTGCCTCCAGAATGTTTTTAAGTCATAAAACAAAACAAAACAAAACCAAAAAAAAAAACAGGGTAGGTGCCTGGGGGTCTCAGTCGGTTAAAGTGTCCCAAGTCTTGATCTCCACTCAGATCTTGATTTCAGGGTCTTGAGTTCAAGCCCAATGTTGGTCCCCACACTGGGTGTGGAGCTTACTTAGGAAACAAATAAATAAACAAACACCAGGAGCTTTTAACTAAATGGAATAAAGATTGGTTAACGGGGGGAAATTTCCCATTAATAATAATCTATGTAATTTTAAAATAGATCTCTTTCCTTGAGAGCAATCAGATTTGTGCATTGAAAAAGTGTAATAAAGATTCTGAGATGAGTTAGAAATTACAATTCTGCAGCCAAAAAGGGAATCAGGACAGTCAAAGGCTCTTCAATCAGCTCACTGCACATTAGATCTGCTAGGCGTCAATCCAGCGCTCACCGCGCACAAATCTCATTTGATCCAAATGGAAGCCAGGGGTTACAGAGGTCAGACAGTGATAAATGCCCCAGAACATAAATAATAAACATGAGCCACCAGGTTTCATAAGCTAACATCTTAAAATGTAAAACCTACTTACCCTCACCCAAGGGAAAGAAAGAACCTTGGAACCAAGCAGTCATACTATGATGGCCTTGTCACTGCTCATTATCAACAAGCAATCAAACACAGCACATATGTGGTCACCACGAAGCACAGCAGGCGGCTACCCCACAAAAAGTAAAAAAGGCATAAGAATTTTCCAGTGAACACAATACCCCAGTTTTTTTTTAATTATTTATTATTTATTTATTTGACAGAGAGAGAGAGCACGAGGGGAGGGGCAGATGGAGAAGCAGGCTCTCTGCTGAGCAGGGAGCATGATGCGGGACTCAATTCCAGGCCCAACCCAGGCCCTTGGGATCATGATCTGAGCCAAAGGCAGACATTTAACTGACTGAGCCACCCAGGCGTCCCAACACAATACCCCAGTTTTAAGGCCTACATCTAAAATGTATCTAGGCTCTAAACCTGGGGTATAATTCATTCAACATTTATGGAATACCCACTGTACAGGTTCTTTCTATATTCGGTCAGACCCTGTCCTGGGGCATGCGGGGGGGGGGGGGGGGCGGGGGGGGACCAAGACCCAGCCCTGAGGCACTCACAGCCTAGCAGGAGACACAGACATAGAATTACAACACAATATGCTAAATGAGAGAATAGTGTGTATGAGATGAATACGTATGAGATAATAAAATGAGGGACTAAAAACATTAGCTCTGCAGGGTGAGTGTAGGAAGGCATATCGCTGAACAGAAAAACTTCGAACAGCGGTTCATGACTTAAAAAACTTCTCCAAAATACAGAAACAGAGAATAGAGCCTTAAATTCTTATAAAGATGATGTCTATCAACTCAACAGCTCATAAAGCAAATGCATTTTTAAAATTTAAGAACATTATTAAGTGACAACACAGAACGTAATACTCCAAGTCCTTTATAGCTGAGTACTACATTGGAATCTGTGCTGCCCAATAGCTAACAGACATCGGCTAAGAAATTATGTTCATAGAGGACTTCCAGAAAGAGAAAAGGTCCATTCAGTCTTTTCATCTGCCCTGGATGGGGCGAGAGGGAGCTGTGGAGAGCAGAGCCCCGCCTATTGTGGTGCTGGGCTACAGAATGGCTTTTCTGAATTACACTTTAGGATGAAGCCATCTTGTCTACCTCAATTGTCACAAGAGAAACAGCCTGATCTCTCTCATTCTCTCTCAACATTTAAGCAGTTCATTCTCTAGAAAAGTCTCTCAATCACTTTTCCCCCTACCTTCCCCCAACCCTGCTATTTCAAACTTATATCCTGTAATTTGTATAACCGCACAAGCTGGATTAGATCCTTCTTTGTAAGATGATAACAATTAGCCAAAATGGAGCCCACTCTCTCTTCCTGATTTCTACAGACAGCTTCCTAACACAGGAGAATGTGAACAGACTGCAACCCAACACCCAATCACTATGGAATCAAGACAGTAGCCCTCCTTGGCCCTGGCCCTTTGCCAGGGTGCAAGATGCAAGCAGTTAGGTGTCCTTACCTTTTCAGTCTTGTCAATCTTAATAACAGCACTTATGGAACCTGGGAAGAACTGACAGACAGACACAGTTCCTTCTCACTCCCTGACAGTCTTGGCTAAATGCCCTGAGCGTCTTTCAACCACCTTAGCTGATAATGTCTCAATTTCATCAATTTCCTAGGTAACAGGCTCGGAATTAGATTTTAAAACTCTAACACTGTCCAGTAAATCAATATCCTAACCTTCAAAAGATACATATTAAATTCACAGTGCAACCTTTCATTTGACAAATGTTCTTTTGGAGTGTCCTAGAGTTCTAACAGTATAATAAGCCCTACAAATTTTTAGAGAAAGCAAGGACAGCGTAAAGTAATAGAGGCTTTGCTGCATCTTATTTCACCCTGGCTGTAATGT